GTGTTTTTTGTTTTTGTTTTGTTTTGTTTTTACAGTGAAGCTACCCTGGATCCCTGCAACAGTGTTATTCACTGAGCATGAATAATGGATTGGTTATTGGCAATTCTGTAGAGCAGAACTGACTATTAGTGCACCTGGAGCTCACTAAAGGGAGATCAGTTACTGGAATGCCAAAAGGACATATCAATCAAGATCTCTCATAATAAGGTGATAAAATGCCACATGCTATAAAACATACATTACGGTAAGTCTATAATGTGACTTTTTATTGTTCTTAACAGTACTTAGAAACACAGCACAGCAAAGTGTACCTGTGCCGTCACTTTCACCTGCCTGGATTCTCCTTGCAACTTCCTCATTGGATGCGATCACCCCTCTGACACATTTAAACTATGGGTGATCTGCTGAGCCTCTCTCCCCTCTCCTTTCTATCATGACACATCTACTGTAATCCAAAATGCTCATTCTTACCTCACCTGCTCAGGCATTAGCTATTGTATCTCATTTTACTTTTCAAAGCAATTATCCTTCTCTGAGATTATCTAGTTTGTATACTTAAGTGATTTCTTGTTTCCCGCACTAGAATGTAAACTCCGTTAGAACAGGGTTCTTGTCTGTCTTTTTCATGGGTATAGCCCCAGTATACAACAGGTGCTGAAAGGCTATTGGATGTGTGAGTCAGTGGAAGAATGAAGGGATCAATAAATATTTGCTCTGAGGGATACAGATAGAACATACAGACCATGTTTTCAAGACTCTCACTTTCCAGTTGAGGAGATAACATGTCTACAAGTGAAAATGTGGCCAGGGCATGATGTACAAAATGACTGGCAGATGATTTCTGTGGATGATCAAGAGAAGGAGCCATTGCTAGGGATGACCCAGAACAGGAACTGCTTCATGGAGTACTTACAGAGTGTCTTTCGAGGGGGCTTCCCCTGTGAGGCTTCCTGAATGCTGGGACCAATAATCTTGCTTGAGACACTGGCTAAGACTACACAGAGAAACTACCCTGCTTGACCCGTCCTACCAACCTCTCCACGGCACTCCAATTTCTCACAGCTCATTGCTGCTCCAGGACTTTTCCATTTATTTATTACCTGATTGCCCTGGAGCGCTCTTTAGCTAGGTGGAAGAGTAGATTCCTCATCTTGCATGTCTCGCCCCCATCACAATCTGGGAGAATGCATGTTATCTGAAAATTTCCTGTCTGTGCTCTTAAAATCTCTGTAACTAGACTGAAAGCTCCATGCAGTACCGGTCTTTGTAGTGTTTTTGACTTATTCCCATCACCTAGCACAGTGCTGCGAATTGTGTTCTGTGTTTAACGAATGAGTGAATGAATGACCTTGAAGAATGGACTTTGAGGGAAGTGGTGCAAGCAGAAGGAGATTAACGGAGCAAACATGAGGACTTATCAGAAGAGGAGATGGCAGGAGTCCAAGCTTAGAGAGAAGAAACAATTTGGTTAGGCTTAAGTACAAGGGGCAAGAAGGGAGGGATAAGAGATAAAGTTGGAAAGGGGAGCAAAGGTTGGATTTTGAAAGACCTTAAATGACAAAGATTTCAAGCAGGGGTGACATATAATCCTGTTTGTGATTTGGAAAAGCTTTATCCACACATCAGCTTAGTCAATTGAGAAACATATTAAATAAATGGCACTGTTAATGTCAGTACTACTACCACTGGCTGCATTAAGGAGCTGGAACTGAGACTGAGAATGCAAGCTGTATCACAAAGACTCTTTCCATTGGCATAAGGTAATCTTAAGTTGATTTTATGTTTGAAAATTATAATAGTAAAGATATTTATTTATTTATTTATATTTTTCACTTACTTATTTTTCTTAGAGACAGAGTCTCACTAAATGTTGCCCAGGCTGTAGTGTAGTGCTGCAATCTCGGCTCACTGCAACCTCTGCCTCCTGGGTTCAAGCGATTCTCCTAACTCAGCCTCCTGAGTAGCTGGGATTACAGGTGCACCCCACCATGCCCAGCTAATTTTTGTATTTTCAGTAGAGACGGGGTTTTACCATGTTGGCATGTTGGGCAGGACGGTCTTGAACTCCTGACTCAAGTAATTCTCCTGCCTCAACCTCCCAAAGTGCTGGAATTATACATGTGAGCCACTGCACCTGGCCTAAGACACTTACAACAATTCAAAATTATAGAAATACATCATTCCTTGTAACACTGGTTCTAAAACTTGGAAACAACTAAGATCTCCTTCAGTACCTGAACAGACTCACAAACTGTGGTAAATAAATACAATGAAATATTATTCAACAACAAAAAGAAATGAGCTCTCATGCCATAAGAAGACATTAAGGAATTTTAAATGCATATTGCTGAGTAAGAGGAGTCAGTATAGAAAAGTAGTTGGAATCATACAGTATATATGTGTTGATATTATTTTTCCAGGTATATTATAAACTCCACATGGGCAATGTGTATTTCCTACCTTATATAATGTATAATATGTACAATATGTACCTTGTATAATGTATATGTATATATTTATTAAATATTCTTTATTATAAATATTTACAAATAAATATACATAATATTTGTTCTCCAATCAACCACATAATTAGAGATGTTTTTAAACATCTCTGAGTAATGCAATAGGAGCAATCTATTAAATAAGACAGAAAAACAGTAATTTAAATGAAACAAAGCAACTGCCAAATCATGAAATCCAAGTTCTTTCTTTTGTGGGTCAAACGCAAATATTCTTATAGCTTTTATTGCACATAGGTGTTGGCTGTCATGGTAAAAGAAGATACAACTCTCAACTTCAATAAAATTTGTTTCAATATGCAATAAAATTTCAATATTATAAGAAAATCAAAATGTCTTATTAGTACCAGGACAGCTGCCTGTGTATATCCTTGTGATTTCGTGTGCACAGTGAGAGTTTGACTTTTTCATCCACACCCAAATACTTTTTCATCCCATGACTGTCAGGCTTTTTGTTTTAGGATTGCAACTCTATCAATACTGGGATGTCTGTTCAAGCTAGTTAACTAAGTATGCTTAACTACTCCACTCCCAGCACCTCGTAGAATCCCACTGCAATAACAACAAATAAGAACAAAGGTGCTGGATGCAGTGTCTCAAGCCTGTAATCTCAGCACTTTGGGAAGCCAAGGCGGGTGGATCGCTTGAGGCCAGGAGTTCGAGACCAGCCTAGCTAACATAGTGAAATCCCATCTCTACTGAAAATATAAAAATTAGCTGTGTGTGGTGGTACACGTCTTCTAATCCCAGCTACTCGGGAGGCTTAGGCATGAGAATCGCTTGAACCCTGGAGGCAGAGGTTGCAGTGAGCCGAGATTGCCCCAGTGCACTCTAGCCTGAGCCACAGAGTGAGAGACTCTGTTTCAAACAAAAAGGAAAAAAAAAAAAAAAAAAAAGAAAGAGAAAAAAAAGAACGCATTCACACAAAGACTACAAGGGTGGAGAGACTTGGATAGCATACAGGATATTCACAAGCAATTTTGGAAGAAAAATGGCAGATGAGTGCATTCTGTTTTAAAAATCATAGCTCAGAGTCCTCCCAGGAAATGGCTGCAGTGTCTAGGGAGCTGTCTTTCACAGTGATGAAAAGAAATCTAGGTTCAGAGTGGACAGGTACCTGGAAGAACATTTTTTCCTCAGCATCCCTTTATTTATTGATATACCAATGAGAATAGTACCACACAACCCAATGACATTCATCATTTCTGTTGGCAGTGTCTATGAGAGCAAGTTGCAAGATTTCCAAGACTTCACTGAGTCTTCTCCTGACATTTAGCTTAATCTTGGCAAGTACATCTGACTACTACAATGTGTTAATGATCAAGGAGTATGTCAAATTATGACATGTCTATTGCAGGAAATTATGTTGTAATACAGACAGTGTGCAATGGATCAACCATTATCTGTGCTTGGTATTATGATAAAAAGTGATTGATTTTGGCATCAAAATTAAAGTGTTCATCTGGCTCAACTTGTTCTTTGCACACCATCCTTCATTATGACAAGCACATATAGCAAAGATAATGCCTTCAATACAAACTGTTGATTATTGATTAAACAGATCACATTTGGATGGGCTGCAGTTTCTGCGTGTCTAACAGATGGGATCCTTCTGAGAATGCTAGAATGGGGAATTATGACACCCAGCCACTTCAGCCATAAACCTTATTCTTGCACTTTTTTTTCTTGCTGGTAATTTTATATAGCAGGTTGAGAAAGCTACTCTATGCTAGTATAGACTATACACCAATGATTTTGATAATGAGTTCTAGGATATATTTTTCTTCTTGTATCTTTTCCTTCCTATTCATTTAGAGAGCTTCAGGTACCTTGGCTTTGGAAATGGCCTCTGCGTTACTGCTGAGGTCATCAATCTCCATCTTCAGCTCACTCTTCTCCCTCTCCAGCTTCTGTTTGACCCGCTGCAGGTTGTCAATCTGCTCCCCAAGTTCAGCCATACTGTCTGCGTGCTTCTTCCGAAGAGCAGCCGCTGTCACTTCATGCTACAGGGTGGCCTCCTCCAGGTCCCTGTGCAGTTTCTGAAACTCAGCCTCCTGCTTCTTGTTCAATTCCACCTGAGCAGAAGTTGCCCCACCAGCTTCTTCCAGGCTCTCACTGATCTCCTTCGGTTCCCGGGAGAGGTCAGAGCGCTGCTCCTCTGCTTTGGCTCGGGAGGCCCGCTCTGCCTCACATTTCTTCCTTCAGCTCCTCAATGCAGGTCTGGGAACAAAAGAAGCACATTAACATAAACTCATCTCAATTCAGTGTTTTTTTGGTGTGCAGAAAAAATAAAGGTTTGTTGACTCACCTGCAACTCTTTGATCTTCTTCTGTAGTTGAATTTCTACAGCTTGCTCATCTTCAATTTTGCTTATCAAATTGCTAATTTCAAATTCTTTCCTTTAGATGGAAGAACAAGATGCATTAATACTCATATGAATTGAAAGGTGGTATCACATAGAAGCTTTTTTCTAAAAACCTCCTACTTTTTAAGCTTTTCATCAAGTTGCTGTTTGTCATTTTCTATACCCATTGTGGATTCCTGGGCCAGTTTCAGGTCACCATCCAGTTTCCTCTTTGCTCTTTCTAGATACATTCGAAGCTTCTTTTCTTGTTCCAGAGACTTTTCAAGCTAATAAGAAAGTTAATATGGTAAAAATTAAAAGTATATTAAAATCTTTCAAAGAGATATTAAAAATGTGCTTACATCACCCACTTGCTGTTCCAGCTTGGTTTTCGCTTTGGTCAGGGTGTTGACTTTGTCCTCCTCTGCCTGCAGGTCATCCAGGGTCTGCTGGTGGGCCTCTTGGAGAGCCTTCTTCTCCTTGGACAGTTTTGCAATGGTTTCATCCAGGCCTGCCATCTCTTCTGTAAGATTTTTCACCTACAAAGGTTAAGAAGGAGATTATTTCTCCTATAAAGCAATTTAGTTGGTGGCAGAACCTCTATATAGTATTGTAGAATGTGACTGATACCTTGATCTCTGTGGCATGTTTCTCCTTCTCAACCTTGGCCAGTGTCAGCTCAAGGTCATCAATGTCTGCCCGGCCGCAGGTGAGAGGAGGTGCCGCAGCAAACCACTGAGTAACCATGAAGATGAGCACCTGCTGGGAAAAGGTGACAAGCCACAAGGCCATGGACCCCGTTATAAGGATCAGTTGTGTTACAGGAATGGTTATAAACCTGACCGACCTCAGAAGGTGTATGGGGGAGGCAATTATCAAGCCCCTCGATGGTCTGCAGTTGGATGTGCTGGACTTTGTCAACAGTGTGAGCATGACAGAAAAGGTAGCTGTGTATACAGGGGGTTTCTCCAGAAAGAGTTTTCTGTGGGACTCTTTGTAAAAGAATAATAATACGGGCCGGGCGCGGTGGCTCAAGCCTGTAATCCCAGCACTTTGGGAGGCCGAGGCGGGTGGATCACGAGGTCAAGAGATCGAGACCATCCCGGTCAACATGGTGAAACCCCGTCTCTACTAAAAATACAAAAAAAAAAAATTAGCTGGGCATGGTGGCACATGCCTGTAATCCCAGCTACTCAGGAGGCTGAGGCAGGAGAATTGCCTGAACCCAGGAGGCAGAGGTTGCGGTGAGCCGAGATCGTGCCATTGCACTCCAGCCTGGGTAACAAGAGTGAAACTCCGTCTCAAAAAAAAAAAAAAAAAAAAAAAAAGAATAATAATACGACTGGCAATTGTATTGCTGTCTATACAGTAAAGGTAACTCACTCTTAGGGATCAACTTTGTAGAAAGACAACTTGTTTTTTGCTTCTTTGCTCAGTATTAAGACGTCATCAGATCATTGCCACCCTCCCCACATCCTGTCCTGTAGTACCTGGTTTACTGAAAGCAGTATGAGGTCTGTTTTAAACATATTCTGAATGTCATTTAGACAGTCTTTTGCCTGGAGATTAAAAATCACTTTATTTCTAGCAAAACGCTTTCATGTAAAATATTTTAACAACAAAGAAGATCTGTGTTTGTTGTTTTCTCCATTATCTAAATATTGATCTCCATTTCATCTGGGCACATATAAATGGTAAAAATATTTTCAAGATTTGGAGTAGGTGAATCTAATTAAAAATAAAATATAGATGTTGATAGAGCCTGGAAATATTGTCAATATCTTTTTAAAAGATTGAGCCCTGTTGATTATTTCTTCTGGAGTAAAGCCTCAAATTTCTTCTATGAAATTAGACACACAAATCATCTGAGGCAATGCATGGCAGATAAATATACAGTGATTGATGGAAATGTTGCTTTAATGCATATTGTTCATTGCACCTTTGCACAATTATTGAACTATGAATTACTATTGAGGAACAGCACATTCAACATGTCATAACAATCAGCTAATTAATATGGACATTTTCTATGTTTCTAGACTTTCTGGCCACTCTGAGCAAATTTAAATCAAATGACTGAAGTATAATAACTTATTTTAACCCAGTTAAAATAGTTGACTTGAAAAGTATATTTTTGTATGAATTTTTTTTCTAATTGACTCTATTTTGTTCTGATGAGTAAACTTACCTACATAAGTTGCACCACTAAAACTATATGAATATGATCTGAAGATCCACGGTGATTCCATTATTTTACAATGCAATGACATTATAAGGAAGTCGGAAAATTAAGTTAAAATTTTTTAATTATGAAGAATATTGAAAGAGGATTGCTTGTTGAAACAAATAGGGTAAAAGAGTCTTGGTGTCAGCTATGCCTCTCTTAGAGAAAGGACTGTGACCCCTGTCATCCCATTGATAGTCTACTGATACATTTTAACAGCTGTTTTAAAATAGATCTTACCAAGGCAAGAGCAACAGTTTGCTTACGAGCGATGAGAAATACGTAGTCTTACCAGAGTGCACCCTTTGAAACGTGCTGTGTATGTAATTAGTGAGGCCATTCATTATTCACTTTTATTATACAAATGTTGATTACATGTACACCTTCTTCTACTCAGATATTAACTTGCCCCTTCCTCAGTATATTTTATTAGGCTGTGTGTGTATCTCAAGCACAGGTGATGTAATATGTTTTGTGAGATTTCAAAACATTCCTTTCTTAGCTCTGTAATGAATATAAAACGGATCCCTATTGCCTATCTTAGAAAATGTGCATTTCATAAAACTGTTTAAAAAAATAAATCCTTTTAAATTGCCCATCTGCTTAAGCTATGTTTGTGGAATATTAGGACTATGCTATGTCTTAGAACATGTGTAATACTATATTTGAGGGCACGACTGCATTTTAAGGAATAAAATATTAAGAAGTGTAATTTTGCTAAGTGATACAATTAGAATATTGCTAGGGATTTGACCTATTTGTGAAAAATCTTTGCATAATTAGTAGCTTGCTAAAAATAAAATGAACTCTGCAAACATGATCCAAGTTGTTCTGTATGAAATTACGTGCTAGGCGCACAGTCCCCTGGGAGACCATTGTGAGTCCAGATACCTCTTTGCTGGTTTGTTTCATTTTTGGGGTTTATTTTCTAGAGGTTTTTAGTCATATTTTCAAAGTACAGAAGTCAGGCATCTCAAGTTCAGGTCTTGTCTCCCCCAAACTTTAAAAAAAATGTGGCGCTGATATAATTTAACTTGATAATTACAAAGTGGATAAATACGGTATTTTCTTTCATTGAAGGTTGGTAATATTTTACTCATTTAAAAATTTTTGGTCAGGCACAGTGGCTCATGCCTGTAATCCCAGCACTTTTGGAGGCTGGGGCGGGTGGATCACTGAGGTCAGGAGTTTGAGTCCAGCCTGGCCAACATGGTGAAACTCCATCTCTACTAAAAATAAAAAGAATGATCCGGTCATGGTGGTGCGTGGCTGTAGTCCCAGTTACTTGGGAGGCCGAGGCAGGAGAATTGCCTGAACTCAGGAGGCGGAGGTTGCAGCGAGCCAAAATTGTGCCACTGCACTCCAGTCTGGGCTACAGAGCAAGACTCCGTCTCAAAAAAAAAAAAAAAATTAATTCTCTAAATTGTGGGTCAGAATTTAAGCGAATGGAAACCTGTGGAAGAAAGAATTATGCACGTCTACCTGTGGAATTCATTTCTTTTCAGAGGCTGCCATGTCACAAAAGAGAAAAAAATACATGAGAATATCCCCAAGCAGAAAACTCCTTTGAGTGTTATGCTGACAATATCTGGGTGTCCTGGGGTTCTTGGGGAGCACAACTGATATCCTGCTGTGCTGCTAGTGTGCTAAGTGGTTTTATATCCACTGAGAAGGACCTGCCTGTCAGCAGGTGGCTGCTCTGTGAGGTCTCTGTGGAAAGTCCCCATGTGAAATCTCTGTGCTAGGTGTCTGAGGGACCATGGGACTACATGAAGTCCCTGTGGGAAGCCTCTGTGTGAGAACCCTGTGTGAGGACCTGTATGAGGACCCTGTGAGGACCTGTATGAGGACCCTTTGAGAACCCTGTGTGAGGACCTTGTGAGGACCCCGTATGAGGATGCTGTGTGAGGACCGTGTGTGGGGACTGTGTGTGAGGATCCTTTGTGAGGACCCTGTGAGGAACCTGTGTGAGAACGCTGTGAGGACCCTGTGAAGATGCTATGAGGACCATGTGAGGACCCTGGGTGAGGACCCGGTGCGAGGACCCTGTGAGGACCCTGTATGAGGACCATGAGGACGCTGTCGAAGGACTGTGAGGACCCTGTATGAGGACCGTGAGGACGCTGTCTAAGGACTGTGAGGACCCTGTATGAGGACCGTGAGGACGCTGTCGAAGGACTGTGAGGACCCTGTATGAGGACCGTGAGGACGCTGTCTAAGGACTGTGAGGACCCTGTATGAGGACCGTGAGGACGCTGTCTAAGGACTGTGAGGACCCTGTATGAGGACCGTGAGGACGCCGTCGAAGGACTGTGAGGACCCTGTATGAGGACCGTGAGGACGCTGTCTAAGGACTGTGAGGACCCTGTATGAGGACCGTGAGGATGCTGTCGAAGGACTGTGAGGACCCTGTATGAGGACCGTGAGGACGCTGTCTAAGGACTGTGAGGACCCTGTATGAGGACCGTGAGGACGCCGTCGAAGGACTGTGAGGACCCTGTATGAGGACCGTGAGGACGCTGTCTAAGGACTGTGAGGACCCTGTATGAGGACCGTGAGGATGCTGTCGAAGGACTGTGAGGACCCTGTATGAGGACCGTGAGGACGCTGTCGAAGGACTGTGAGGACCCTGTATGAGGACCGTGAGGACGCCGTCGAAGGACTGTGAGGACCCTGAGAGAGCCCTCCGCCATCTCTGTGTGGCGTGTTGGAGGGAATTCTATGTGAGGGGTTCTGTGCGATGAGTGTGAAGCAGCCCGAGGCCTGGGTGTGAGGACCCTGCCCAAGGTCTCTGTGGAGAGTGGGAGGTCTCTGGCGAGGTCTCTGTGTGAGGCCACTGGGTGGGGCAGCGCTGTGTGTCATTTCCAGGGCCGGAGGCCGCAGTGAGCGGCCTGAGTCTTTGCCTGAGCTCCCCGTTTTCTGACTCTGTGTCGAGTCTTCGAGGCGTTTGTCAGGCCTCGTGTGAGAACCAGGGAAGGGCTCTGAGATTTGCAGGCGTCTCTGCGGGACTGAATGGAGTCTCTCAGGGTGGTCTCTGTGGGGTTCTCTGAAGGGGTCTCTGGGAATCCCAGTGCTGGGTCTCAGTGGGGCACCATGAGGGCTCTGAGAGCTCTGCGGGGTCTCTGTGGAGGCCGCAGCGTGTCTCTCTCTGCGGCAGTGAGCAGTCCCCGCGGGCTCTCTGTACGAGATGTCTCTGTGAGGTTTCCGTGGGAGATCTCTGCGGTCTCTCCATTGCTGGCCTCGCTGCACCCCACGGGAGACTGAGTCGCGGAGGGGTAAGGGCTGGCGGCTTCCTGTGTTCTTGGTGGTCGGCCGGCGTTTCCCGTGGCGCTTCTCGTGGTCTGCGCCGTGGGGTCCACGTCCAGCTCCTCCACGTCCCAGAACTCGCCTCTCGGTTTCCCGAGGGAACCCAGCAGCAGCCAAGCACGGCCCATCCTCAGCAGTCGGGGGCCCAGCTCCGTGACACTCTCTCCTGAGCGCCCCGGGGGGACCGCAGCTGCTCTCTGCTCCCCGTCCCAGTCCCCTCCTGCTGGTCCTGGCTCTGCTGTCACTGCTGGGTCCACCTCGGAGGCTGCCTCAGTCATCTGGGCCCCAGACAGACCTGGCCCCAGGACAGGCCACATGCTGGGGACTGTTGCCTACTGCCCCCTTCACCCCAAGTGCCAGCCAGTCCCACATGCTGGGGGCAGGGCCCTTTCCATTGTCATCTAAATCAGTGGCACTGCCTGGCACGGTCCTCTCCACCGTGGAAATGAGGCCCCCGGAACTGGGCCTCCTGCACGCCTGTATGTGCCCAGGGCATGGAAACTCCCTCTAGAGACCTCACGCTCCTCTCCCCGATTTGTGGGGACCCCCTGCTTTCCCACACGGAGAGGGCCCAGAGAGGAGGAAGCTGCGCTGAAAGCAGAGGGAGGCAGAGTGGGGACGGCTCCTGCCCTGCCCACCCCCTGCCCACTCTGGACAGGTCACTTCCAGCTGCCTCGTGTGTTCAAATCCTGCCTGCCCGCCTCTTCCCCTGCTGGTCTGTGGGGCAAGGAAGGACCTCAGGAGCCGGGGGAGATTGGCTGTGTGACCCGAGCTCAGCTGCTGGGTCCTTCTAAGTCACCACCTCTCCCCTGGGGGCAGTCCTGGGGCTACGTGTATGTTAAAGGTCACCAGACTCCCGAGTCATGCCTGGGGATCGCTAGTCCTTGCTTTTTCACCTATCGTCAACATATCCTTTTAAAAATTCAACAGGTAGGCCAGGTGCGGTGGCTCATGCCTGTAATCCTAGCACTTTGGGGGGCCAAGGCTGGTAGATCACCGGAGGTCACGAGTTTGAGACCAGCCTGGCCAACATGGCAAAATCCCATCTCTATTAAAAATGTAAAAAATTAGCCAGGTGTGGTATTGGGTGCCTATAATCTCAGCTACTTGGGAAACTGAGGCAGGAGAACCACTTGAACCCAGGGGCTGGAGGTTGCAGTGAACCGAGATTATACCACTGACTCCAGCCTGGGCAAAAGAGTGAAACTGTGTCTCAAAAAAAAAAAAAAAAAAAAAATTCAGTAGGTTACTATGGGCAAGCTTCTTAAAGATGTTAAGAAATTCATCTTCCCTTATTCACGTTGCCTTCTCACTAGTCTGGCCCTCTGTGTTGGGGGCAAATGCGTTTTTAGGTCTGTGGTCTGGGACCTGGAGCAGGGACAGACCCTGGGTGGGGGGGGGCGGGATGAGCCATAGGCCCCTCTATGCCTGTGGAAGGGGTTGGAATGTCAGAGGCTCCCAGGTCATGGCACCACTTACGGAGCCCTCACGCCACTTTGCCTCCTGTTCAATTCTTTGTCTGCGTCCCCCACTGTAGTTCTACAGAGTCCCCCCATCGGAAGCCTCTGCACACACAGGCGTGCCCCGCCCCACTCACCCAGAACTGCTTCTCTGAAGCTGAGACACACATAGGTGAGACAACAAAGGCAGGTGACCCAGGAGCAGGGTCATTCACTCACTTCGGGCAGGGGAGCTCACGGTCCTCAGCAGCCTCCATGAAGGCCTCCCCCCGCCCCCCACCTTTACATCCACAGTGCTGGAAGGTCTGTCCCCACCACCACTCCAGAGTGCGAGAAAGTGAGAGGCCGTGGGATGGGGACTCTGTGCTTTGTATGTGGCTGAGCTAAGAGGGCCCATCTCCATCCCAGCCTTTGCGAGGAAGAGAAGCGGCTTCCCAAGGGCAGGCATTATCTACTCTCCACCAGGATATCCGGGGTCAGGACTGCCTTGGCTTCTGAACTCAGGGCCCACACTTTCCCACCCGAGCTTCCACTATTTTGTGACACAGGAAGCTACTTGACTGTGGCAGCTCCTGGAACCTGCATGGAGATATTCAGTCCTATGACGTCTCTGCCAGCTTTCCTCCTACAGCTGCATAAAGTTTGAGGTAGAGAGTAAGTAGTAGAAAGATGGGTTGAACCATATCTCTGAGTGGGATCTTCGTAGGTTTTCTCATCTTGTTTTTAGAATTTTTTGTTGTTTGTGTAAAGACAGTATTATGAAAACGTAAGTTTCAGTGAAGGAACTCAGGATAAAGGTGGGCTTACAACACCACTCTCAGAATCCCTCCACGTCCTGTCACTTCTAGAAAACAAGCCCACACCAAGCACGACACAAATAAAAGCCATTATCCTTTTATGGTGAAAAAAAGTGATATTTATTTATTGTGGAATATTAAATGTTCTGGGTGTAAGAACATGAGAGAAAATATTTTTTCTCTACATAGAGTGATTTCTTTTCTTGGGGACTTGTTTTTCTCTAGGAAATGCTGAAAAAAGAATTTGTGATTGACCAGATTAGATACCTTCCCAAAGAAGGCAGTGCCTTGGACAGTGGGGATGGTGGGTGAAGGCACCAGGTGTCTTCAGTCCGCCCTGAGGGGCACCGACTGGGGAGACAGCCTTCTTGGGGAGCAAGAGTTGGGGATGTCGCCGGCCCCGTTGCTCATTGTTGCACTGGACACTTTTCAAGGGCTGTTGATCTCTGATATGCCTCTCTCTGTTGGGGTGACTGTGGCTCTTGAGAGTGGCTTGTTGACTGCTGGCTGCATAGCCCAGCATTGTGCTGTGTTCCGGGTGGAAGGGGTGCCTGTGGTTGCAGGGCAACCCACAGACCAGGGCTTGGAACTCCTGTTTGTGCTGATTTACCTTCAAGGCATGATGCTCACGGCAAAGTGTCATTTTTTCCTCCAGCATCTGTCCAACTGCGGTCATGAGCCCGTCAGCTTCAGCACAGCTGCCGTACGCACGTGATTTGTTTTTCACTATTTTCTGGCTCTTGGCAGTGACTGGTGCTGGCTTGCTTTTTTTCACTGAAAAGACCTGCTGAAAAAATTGTTTGATGTTTTTTCCGAAGTTGCTTATTGAAGGAGGCTGTTTCTTTGACGGCAACAGCTGGAGGCCTTCATTCTGTCGGGTTTCTTCTGTTTTCTTGACTGGTGTAAACTGGGGAGTCCTCAGTTCTTCAAGCCTTTCTTCACGTTTTTCTAAGTTGGGCTTCATTGGGTTCTCACTCTTGTGAGTAAGGGTAAACATCTGGTTCTGGCATGAGCTGTGACATTTCAGGTTCTTGGGCTCCTTGTGCCCGAGGTTGCTCCTTCTGGCTGCCATAAGGTCACGTAGCTCCTGGGAAGCCCACATGTTCCCGGTAGTCATGCTTTGGAGATGGCCGTGGGGCACTTGAGAAGCCAGAGTCTCTGTAGCAAGGGGAATGTCAGTAAAACCATCTGGAAGGAGCACAACGGCGCCACCAACTTGAGGCTGGGTCTCTGACTTGGTGGCCATTCTGGGCTCAAAGTCAGTAACAACCTCTCCCGTAAGATAGAGCTCTTCTGCATCATGGGAGACACACATTCTAGGGAGCTGAGAGCCTTTACTGGTCCCTGGAGCCTCTAAACCACTCACATCCTTCCGTGTGGCTTGGAGGTTTGCCAGCATGAAGGCTCCCAAGGGGACTCCGGCTTGTGGCGCTGCCTCCATGGTCTCTCCAGTCCTTGGGGATTGGGCTCCTAAGCTCCCGCTCTGCTGGGCGCTGCCTGTGAGGGGCTTAGAAGGCCACCTGCCCTCCTGTCCAGCTGGAGGAGGCTTCAAGGGCCCATGGGGATTCCAAGATGGGATCCTTTGTGGGGCCGTCTGGAACTGTGTAAATGTAGGTGAAGACACCAGAATACTGTCTGGAGTCTGAACAGATGCTTTGGTTAGCACCTGCTTTCTCAGACCTGCCGGTGGTGACTCTCTTAGGAACACGGCTTTCTCAACTTTTGAGCTAAGCTTAGATTCATAGGTGGCTGAGGAGGGACCAGCAAGCTGCGTAAGGGATAAGGAGGAAACTTTTTCCAGTTTAAAGAGCTTAATGGGCTTGAGAACCCTGAGGGGTAGGCTCCACTTGTGTTTGGCCCAAAACCTCACAATATGGTGTCCCAGCACCTGTTGAGTGCACGGATCGAGGAAGGAAAGCTCTCGGGATGTGTTCACACTGGCTCTCCCACTTTTCAGGGGTGCTAGATTGCTGGTCTTCATGTGGGTGTTGGATACGGAAAAACCCTCGTTGACAGCAAGCCAGGATCGACGCACACAAATGGGGATCAAGCCCTCATTGATCTGGCCCAACTTCATGCCCACGTGGGCTTTCAGGATGTTTTCTATACGATTTCTCTCTGTGCGTCTTAATAAATCACTTTCCGAGTGTCTCCTCGAGGGCATCTTCAAGTCTCTTTCCAACTCCTCAGAGGCTGCCCCCAGAACCTTCCCTGGGAAGCTTTCCATGCACCTGGCTAGATTCTGCGGGGTCTGCCCCAGAATTTGCCCCAGAGGTGTGCAGGGATTCCTCTCTAGCTGGAACGTCACCTTCTGTATGTCCTTGCCGCTCTCACCCGTGCACATGGAGGACTGCAAGGGTCTGAGTTTGCCCCTGGCCTGACTTGTCCCTGGCAATTTCTCCCGAGGCTGCATCAGATCCGGAGCCTCTTGGGTCGTCCCCAGGTTGCTCTGGTGTTGAATGAGCCACTTTTGAATATGTTGCTCCAGTTGCCTCCGGAGTTCAGGACTGACCGGAAAGTTCTCAGGAACGATTGCTGTCAAGCTGTCCTGGGGAGGGTTAGGAGTGGAGGCACTAAAGACGTCCTGAGGTTTTTGGACCCTAGAGGGTAAAGCCAACTCACCTTCTAGTTGTTTAGAAGACCATTCAGGGCGCTGCATTTCAGGTAAGGTGAGAGCTTGCGCCTTATTCTGCGATGCAGGGCAAGCTACTCCAGAATTATTAATTGAGGATGCAAAAGCAGAAGATTGGACTGGGAAAGAGGATTGAAGACGGGCCTGAGCCTCCGCCTGAGCCATAGGCGAGAGCTGGAATTGGGGAGTGGGCGAAATAAAGGGTTGGGACTCAGGCCTCAGATGGGACAGGCGCTGGGCCTGGAAAAGCAGTGGAGACATTGCAGTCTCTGTTTGAACTGGGCGGACATTGGGAATGCCATTGAACAAGAAAGGAGGAGACTGGAAAGTGTAAGATCTCTCGGACACCCAGGCGTTAGCCACCAGGGATTCGCTGTGCAGAGAGGGGAGGCCCCAGAAAAGCTGGCTATAATTCTTCTGAAAATGTTCCTTCAGGATTCTAGGATCTGAGAGCTTCTGAGGACTGGATGACTGTTTCAAGTCTTCCATGTTCCAGACAGGTTTTAGGGTTGTGGTGTCCTGCTCAGCATCCAATGATTCCACCAAATTCCCCAAAGAATTCGAGTGCTTTTCTGTGTTCATTTGTTTTGGAAATGATCCACCTTTTTCTTTTTCCTCCCAAATGTTGATCCTGGCTCTTTGTGTGACTTGTATCCCCACGACATTCTGGCCATCAGAGCTGAGCAAAAAGGGGCTACCAGCTTCCATCTGACTGTTTGTGGGGTCACCAGAGGACGAGGTTTCCGGTGGGTGGCAGGAAAGATGATCTTGCTGGACTGATGAGTTGAAGATGCACCAGGTTCTGGTAGTTTCCTGACACCAGAATGCAGACACAGAGACATGACTGCTTGAGCCGCCAAGGCCTGAGAGGGCTGGGCCAGAAGTCGCCAAATCCTCACACGGAGATGAGCTTTGATGGATGGTGCCCAGTGGAAGCACCACTGAGTCACAGTGAGATGGAGTCGTCAGAGTGGAGTCCCGCAGGGGAGGAGCAATGACGCCTTTCGGAGGAGGCGGAGAGCAGGCCAGGGGATCAGGGGTGTGTGGTGGGTTAGGGAAAAGTGCAAGTGGCTCGGGTGAGGGGTGTTCCAGAGGAAGGGAAGGTTCTGGTGGTTGGGAGGCACTCAGAGGGGAGACTGAGGTGGCCATTGGGCTTGGTGATGGGATGGAGTCCAGAGGCGAAGGATGCTGGGTATGAGGATCTGGGGAAGTTAATGGGGAAAGCACGGGAGCAGTATCTTCCATCGGCTCCTGAGGGGACTGGGAGGCTCCATCAGGTGCCCTTTTGCACTCCTCATCTGGGGGGTCGGGACCAGAGAGCTGACCAAAGTCTTTACCTTTCTTAGGATGCGGCCCCAGGATGCTGCAGGAAACAGGAGGCACAAGCTGCAGCCAGGAGCAGGTAGGGCCGTAGGGCAGAGTGGGCGCGTGGGCTCCAGCCCCTCCACTGCCCCATACCCTGACCCCCCAATTCTCCTCCATGCCCCTCCACTGCCCCACACCCAGACTCCCCAGTTCTCCTCCTATGCCCTCCACCACCCCACACCCAGACTCCCCAATTCTTCTCCTATGCCCCTGCACCGCCCCACACCCAGACTCCCCAATTCTCCTCCTATGCCCCTCCACCACCCCACACCCAGACTCCTCAGTTCTCCTACCCCTTGCTCTAGGGTTTTACTCCCATCCTCTGTCCCCCTGGTCTCCCCATCCCAGGTCAGCTCCAGGCTGCCGGAAGGCCCTGGGGTCGAATCCCAGCCCCGGTAGGAAGGATACCGGGAAGGGGAAGTGCCTCACCGCTGCAGTTGTGAAAACAAGTCCGGAGTCCCCTTTAGGCCTGTCAGGCGGTCTCTAGAAGCTGGAAATCAGGAGACCGGGTTAGGGCAGTGAGGGAGGAGCCTGGGATCTCACAGGAGGCTGAGTGGACGTTTCTTTAGGGAAGACCATGGGGAGTCAGACCCTGGAAACCACATGTCTGTGTCCAAGGCCACATGGCCTGGATGGGGATAGTGAGGCACGGAGGGCAAGGCTTTGTCGTCCACAAAGGGCTTCCACACACAGACCCCCCAGCCCCATAGTCCTCACAGCTGCCCTGTGGGGAGAAAGGACTGGGGTGGTCTCAAAGAGGAATCAGCTTTAGCAGAGTTGAACAGCTGTCCACAGCCCCCTCCCGGCTCCTGATTCAGACAGGCTTTGGGCTCCTCCCCCTACACTGTGCCCTGCTGGGGAACACCCAGTCCTTGGCCCAGCATGGTTTCATGCCAGCACGGAAACTGAGAGGGACCCGGGGTTCTGATTTCCTTCCTGGAGCCCCCACCTCAGGCTTCTTCAGTTGACTTGCTCAGACAGAGTCGCTTCTCTCCAGGGACAGACGAGACGAAATGCACTCTAGAGCCTTACCTTTCCGACTGCTGTTTTTCTTCCTGCCTTTGGGCCTCCCCCTCCGCTGACCTCGACACTGGGAGATAAGTTGACACTGGGACAGAAGATGACTCTGGGACAGAAGATGACCCTGGGAGACAAGAAAGGGCGAGGGGCTGAGACCGGCTCTCGCTGCCTGCCCCCAGCCCAGCCGCGGCACGCAGCGCTCACGAACCGCACAGCCCTCTCGTCTTGCTCAGGGAGCGGTGCGCTTCCTCCCACTCCTGTTTAAGTGGATGATAAACTGCTTTTCTTCTTAGAAAAACACGAAGAGGGGGCCAGACGCGGTGGCTCATGCCTGTAATCTGAGCGTTTGGGGAAGCCAAGAAGGGTGGATCACCTGAGATCAGAAGTTTGAGACCAGTCTCACCAGCATAGTGAAACCCCGTCTCTACTAAAAATAACAAAAATTAGCTGGGCGTGGTGGCGCGTGCCTGTAATCTCAGCCACTCCGGAGGCCGAGGCAGGAGAACTGCCTGAACCCGGGAAGCAGACGCTGCAGTGAGCCCAGATCGCCATTGCACTCCAGCCAGGGCGATAAGAGTGAGACTCCTTCTCAAAAAACAAACAAACAAACAATAAAACCCACCACAAACAGGGATTTACCATATGAGGAAATATATAATCTATATATAATATATTTCATATATAAACTGTAATATATTAATATATAATATAATAGTAACAGTGGAGATGCTCCTCTACTCGATGAACACCCAGGCTCAGGCCTGTGGGCACACCTGAGCTGCCAGGTAGGATTCTGCTTCCCAGCAGAACAGAGGAGACTCCAGGCCCAGGTGGGAGGCCCTCGGAAGCTCAGCACAACCCCCAGATCACCCCACACAGACAAGGCTGGGCCCCCAGCCACCTGCCCCAGGAAGGGGCTTATGAGCGCCCTCCCACAGAGACCTCCCCTATCTCTTGACTGGTCCTCACCACTGAATCCAGGGGTTTGGTGTTGCCCTGACGCCTCCTGTGCTCCCCCACAGATGGAATGAGAGCTTGGGCTGGAAATCCCAGTCCCTACCAACACCTGGCTGCTCTGCCTCTCCCTGGAAGGCCGGTGTTCTGGTCTCTCCTGACACTTCCCATTGCGGAGGTCTCTCCACTGGATTTGGAAAAATAGAGCTAATAACAGAAAGAAAGGAGAGAATTGTGCTGTGGGGTTCCGCCTGAGGGCTCCTTACCATTCTCTTCTTTCCAGGCGATGGTGAGGGTGGGTCACAAAGGAAGTAAGAGAGGTAAGGGAGTAATAGGAAAAAGAACCCCACGGCAAATACCAGGGTGAGGAAGAGATCCAGCACCCATGGTGTGGAGCTGGGGGTGTTTATCCACGAATCACTAAGAAATTTTAGAGGAAACGGAATATTCTCCATTTGAATAGGTATGCTGCCTTCAAGCAACTGATCTCTGGGCATTCCTTTGGAGACTAGGGACTGGGGCCCAGGCCTGCGTCACAGAGCTGGGGCCTTCACATCACAAAGGGCCCCGGATGGGGGAGGGGCAGTGAGGGGGGAGGCTGAAGCACAGCCCCTCCCCACCCCGCAAGCCCGGGATCCCTCCACCCTCCCACCTTCCAGATTCCTCCTTCCCATTTAAGTTTCGTCAGTGACAGAACTCAGCCAATTTTCTGTTCTTTCTCCCTGGAACACAGATATTATCTGGTTCCTTTTATCTGTTGGAGACGGTGATATGAGGTCATCTGTTTTATAATCCTTGAAAATCTGAAGTTGACTCTGAAACTTTGATTAGGTACCGGGGATTTTTATTCTCAGAATCTCATTCGTCCTCAACTCCAGCTTTCTCCCACAATGTTTTTGTCTTAACATCAATCCAGGGACAAAATGTAAATTTATTTTACTCTTATTTAGTTTTGTAAATTTTGAATAGTACGGTTTTTAAAAAAAATTATTTCCATTTCACTTTTAATCTAAGGGACCTACCCACATACAATTGAGATAATTTTTTAAATTTTTTAAAATTTTATTTATGTGTTTATTTTCTTTATAGTTCTGGGGTACACGTGCAGGACAGGCAGTTTTCTTACACAGGCAAATGTGTACCATGGTAGTTTGCTGCATCTATCATCCCATGACCTCGGTATTAAACTCAGCATGCATTAGCCGTTTTTCCTGATGCTCTCCCTGCCACCGGCCCTCCGCCAACAGGTGCCAGTGTGTGCTGTTCTTCTCCCTGTGTCCACATGGTCTCGTCGTTCAGCTCCCGCTTATAAGTGAGAACATGTAGTATTTGCTTTTCTGTCCCTGTATTAGTTTGCTGAGGATAGTAGCTTCCAGCTTCATCTACAGGTCTGAAAGAGACATGATCTGATTCATTTTCATGGCTGCATGGTATTCTATGGTGTATATATACATTTTCTTTATCCAATCTACCATTGATGAGCATTTGGGTTGATTCCATGTCTTTGCTGTTGTGAACAGTGCTGCAATGAGCATACACATGCGTTTATTTTTGTAATAGAATGATTTATATTCCTTTGGATATATAAGAATATAAATATCATATATAATATATTAATATATAATATAATATATAATATACATTATAGTTGATAATATATTCTAGCTAATGCATGTATAACATATACAATACATGCATTAGATTGAATAATATATAATATATATTATATATTATATATGCATTAGCTAGAATATATTAATCAGCTGTAATATATCTATTAATATATATGATATATGATATAATATATAATATGTAATATATAATATATAATTATATATTTATTTTATATGTAACATAATTATATATAATTATATATTTATTTTATATGTAACATAATTATGTATATAATTATATATATATAATATAATGGTATAAATCCCATTATACACAGTAATGGGATTGCTGGGTCAAATGGTATTTCTGTTTTTAAATCTTTGAGGAATTGCCACACTGTCTTTCACAGTGCTGGACTAATTTACATTCCTACCACTGGTGTGAAAGCGTTCCTGTTTCTCCAGAACCTTACCAATATCCATTGTTTCTTGACTTTTTAATAATTGCCATTGTGGCTGGTGTGAAATGGTATCTCATTGTGGTTTGGATTTGCATTTCTCTAATCATCAGTGATGTTGAGCTTTTTAAAATATATTTGTTAGCTGCATGTGTATCTTTCTGTGTGTGTGGGGAGGAGGTGAGAGATGGAGTCTTGCTCTGTTGCCCAGGCCGAAGTGCAATGGTGAGATCTTGGCTCACTGCAACCTCTGCCTCCTGGGTTCAAGCAATTCTTCTGCCTCAGCCTCCTGAGTAGCTAGGATTACAGGTATCTGCCACCATGCCAAGCTAATTTTTGTTTTTTTGAGATGAGTCTTGCTCTGTCACCAAGCTGGAGTGCAGTGGCACAATCTCGGCTCACTGCACCCTCAGCCACCCAGGTTCAAGTGACCGATATGCCTCAGCTTCCTGAGTAGCTGAGACTACAGGTGTGGGCCACCATGCCCAGCTAATTTTTTGTATTTTAGTAAAGACAGAGTTTCACCATGTTGACCAGGATGGTCTTGATCTGACCTCATGATCTGCTGGCCATGGCCTCCCAAAGTGCTGTATTTACAGGCATAAGCTACCATGCTCAGCTTAATTTTTGTGTTTTCAGTAGAGATGGGGTTTCACCATGTTGGCAAGGCTGGTCTTAAACTCCTGACCTTAAGTGATCCATCTACCTTGGCCTCCCGAAGTGCTGGGACTACAGGCATGAATCACTACACCTGGCCTCTCTTTTGAGAAGTGTCTGTTCATGCCCTTTGCCACCTTTTAATGGTGTTGCTTTTTGCTTGTAAATTTGCCTAAGTTCCTTGTAGATTCTGGATTTTAGACTTTTGTCAGATAGAGAGATTGCAAACTTTTTCTCCCATTCTGTAGGTTGTCTGTTCTTTCATCACAAAATCTTTGCCCACATCTATGTCCTGAGTGGTATTGCTTAGATTTTCTTTCAGCATTTTTATAGTTTTGGGTTTTAATTTAAGTATAATTCATCTTGAGTTAATTGTTCTATAAAGTGTAAGGAAGGGGTCCTTCCTCAATTTTCTGCATATGACTAGCCATTTCTCCCAGCACCATTTATTAAATAGGGAATCCTTTCCCCATTGCTTATTTTTGTCAGGTTTGTTAAAGATCAGATGGTTGTAAATGTGTGGGTTTTTTTCTGAGTTCTCTGTTATGTTCCATTGATCTGTGTGCCTGATTTTATACCGATATTATGCTGTTTTGCTTAGGCTTGTAGTATAGTTTGAGGTAGGGTAACGCGATGCCTTTAGTTTTGTTCTTTTTGCTTAGGACTGTCCTGGTTATACAAGCCTTTTTTGTTTTGTTTTGTTTTGTTTTGTTTTGTTTTGTGTGACTTTTAACATAGTTTTTTCTGATTCTGTGAATAATGTCAATGGCAGATTAATGGGAATAGCATTGAATCTGTACATTGCTTTGGGCAATATCACTATTTTCACGACATTGATTCTTCCTATCCATGAGGATGGCATGTTTTTCCATCGGTTTGTGTCCTTTCTGATGTCCTTGAGCAGTGGTTTGTAGCTCTCCTTGAAGAGGTCCTTCACGTCCATTGTAAACTGTCTTCCTAGGTATTTTATTCTTTTTGTGACAATTGTAAATGGGAGTTCATTTGTGATTTGGCTCTCTGCTTGTCTGTTGTTGTAGGAATGCTTGTGATTTTTGCACGTTGATTTTGTATCCTGAGACTTTGCTGAAGTTGCTTATAAGTTTAAGAAGCTTTTGGGCTGAATTGATGGGGTTTTGTAGATATAGGAGCATGTCATCTTTAAAGAAAGATAATTTGACTTCCTTTCTACCTATGTGAATATCCTTTATTTCTTTCTTCTGCATGATTTTCCTGGCCAGAACCTTCAATACTATGTTGAGTAAGAGTGATGAGAGAAGGTATCCTTGTCTTGTGCCAGTTTTCAAGGGGAATGCTTCCAGCTTTTGACCATTCAGTATGATATTGGCTGTGGGTTTGTCATAAATGGCTTATTATTCTGAGGTATGTTCCTTCAATAACTATTTTAATGAGAGTTTTTAACATAAAGGGCTGTTGAATTTTATCGAAGGCCTTTTCTGCATCTATTGAGATAATATATGCTTTTTGTCTTTAGTTCTGTTTATGTGATGAATTACATTTATTGGTTTGCATATATTGAAGCAGCCTTGCATGCTGGGGATTAAGCTGACCTGATTATGGTGGATAGGCTTTTTGGATTCAGTTTGCCAGTATTTTATTGAGAATTTTTGCATCGATGTTCATGAGGGATATTGGCCTGAAGTTTTCTTTCTTTTCTCTTCTCTCTCTCTCTCTCTCTCTCTCTCTCTCTCTCTCTCTCTTTTTTAATCATCTTTTAGAAGTTTTGGTATCAGGATGATGCCGGCCTCATAAAGTGGGTTAGGGAGAAGTCCCTCTTTTTCAATTGTTTGGAATAGTTTCAGAAGAAAAAGTACCAGCTTTTCTTTGTACCTCTGGTAGAATTCAACTGTAATTTTTTTGTTTTTGGTTGGTAGGCTGTTTACTACTGCCTCAATTTCAGAACTTGTAATTGGTCTATTCAGGGATGTAGCTTCTTCCTGGTTCAGTCTTGGGAGGGTGTATGTGTCCAGGAATTTATCCGTTTCTTCTAGATGTTCTAGTTTATTTGGATAGAGGTGTTTATAGTATCCTCTCATGGTAGTTTGTATTTCCGTGGGGTCAGTGGTGGTATCCCCCTTATCATTTCTGATTGTGTTTATTTGAATCTTCTCTCTTGTTTTCTTTATCAGTCTAGCTAGTGGTCTGTCTTATTGATTTTTTTTTAAAAAAACCAGCCCTTTGATTTGTTGATTTTTAAAGGAGTTTTTCATGTGTCTATCTCCTTCAGTTCTGTTCTGAGTTTGGTTATTTCTTGTCTTCTGCTAGCTCTGGGGTTTGTTTCCTCTTGGTTCGTTAGTTCTTTTAGTTGTGATGTTAAGATGTTGATTTGAGATCTTTCTAGCTTTTTGATGTGAGCATTTAGTGCAGTAAATTTCCCTCTTAATACTGATTTAGCTGTGTCCCAGAAATTCTGTCATGTTGTTTCTTTGTTCTCATTAGTTTCAACAAACTTCTTGATTTCTGCCTTAATTTTATTATTTACCCAGAAGTCCTTCAGGAGCAGGCCATTCAATTTCCATGTAGTTGTGTGGTTCTGAGAGTTTCTTAGTCTTGAATTCTAATTTGAGCTTTGGTCTGAGAGACTGTTTGTTATGATTTCAGTTCTTTTGCATTTGCTCAGGAGTGTTTAACTTCCAATTATATGATCAGTTTTATAGTAAGTGCCATGTGGCACTGAGAAAAATGTATATTCTGTTGTTTTAGGGTGGAGAGTTCTGTAATTTCTATCCAGGTCCACTTGATCCAGGGCTG